ATTATATTATCGACTATATTCTCTATGCAGTATTTTTCATCCCTGTGGCTTCTTTTGTAACTGCAGGTTTGTACCTCTTCATCCTCTTTACCTATTTTGTGTTTTAGGAAAACATTTTCACTAGCAGTTCAGAAGTAGTGGCTCATCCCATAGAAGAGGAGGCTTTTATAGCTCTGATGATATGGCAGATATTTATAGCTCAGATATGGCAGCTGACAGTTCAGATTGGATAAGAACAAGATGTTCCTGTCTTTTTGTAAGGAAAACAGGATGTTCTTATTTTTGTGGCTTATCTCAAGAGGCAAAGCTTTCAGGATTTCCTGTTAGTCAATGCTTTTAGGAGTTTCCTGTTATTCATGGTTTATCTTGGAATGCAAGGTTATTAGGAATAAAAGTCTTTTCTGGTGCACGGTAAGTGATTTGTGGACAGTGCCAGGCTAAGGGCAAGATGTCATGTTCCCATTCTCCCCTCTTTGCTTGCTGTGCCCTCTTTATTGTAGTTTCCTCTAGCTCGGAACCTCCTCCATTTCCTATCCTAGCTACCATATAAAAAAAACTTATAGTTTGTTTCTCTGGGCAGGTTATATAAGAATAATAAGCAACATTACTTACCTTAAATCATGCTATTTATTCCTAGTGTGTTTGTGTATGTGTAGAAAAATACATAATAAAGGTCTACAGGTAAAATGATGAAGTATATCTTATGCAATATATGTATACGTATGTATATATATACACACACACATAATTGACCCTTGGACAAAATGGGTTTGAACTGCACAGGTCTACTTATATAGATTTTTTTTTTAGTACATTACTGCAAATGTATTTCCTCTTATGATTTTCTTTCTTTCTTTTTTAAAGATTTTATTTATTTATTTGGCAGAGAGAGAGAGACAGCGAGAGAGGGAACACAAGCATGGGGAGTGGAAGAGGGAGAAGCAGACTTCCCGCCGAGCAGGGAGCCCGATGCAGGGCTCGATCCCAGGACCCTGGGATCATGACCTGAGCTGAAGGCAGTCGCTTAACCAACTGAGCCACCCAGGCACCCCATCTCTTATGATTTTCTTAATATTTTTTTCTCTCTAGCTTACTTTATTGTAAGAAAATAGTATAAAATATATATAACATACAAAATATATGTTGACTTTATGTTTTGGTAAGGCTTCCTTAACAGTAGACTATTAATAATTAAGTTTTGGAGGAGTCAAAAATTATATGTGGATTTTCGACTGGGTAGGGGTTTGGGGCCCCTAGGTCAACTATGTGTGTGTGTGTGTGTGTGTGTGTAATGAATCTTGGGTCATTTATTAAGAATGTGTGTGCATACAAGTAGATAGCAATAAATTGTTGTTCAAATCATCTTTACATGTCATGTCTCAAAATAAAAGAACAGGCTATGAGTTAGGTTCTTCACTTTTAAACCATACTGCTTATATTTAGATTCAAAATAGCCATTTCTCTTCTTCTTCTTTTTTTTTTTAAGATTTATTTATTTGAGAGAGAGAGAGTAAGAGCACGTGTGAGTGAGCAGGGGCTTGGGGGGCAGAGGGAGAGAGAGAGAGAATCCCAAGCAGACTCTCTGCTAAGCATGGAGCCTGACACGGGCCTTGATCCCAGGACCCCAAGATCATGACCTGAGCCGAAATCAAGAGTCAGATGCTTAACCAACTGACCACCCAGGCACCCCAGCAATTGCTCTTCTAATATTAATTTTCAGCTCAGTATAACCTATACATTATCATCTACTACTGACCCCAAATCATTTCATTTGGGTATTGTTAGTGTCCAGACTAGGTGCAAGATGGAACCACTTATGCTAAGCCCACATCAGCAAACTGGAATTTAAGTTTCTATGCTTGGCTGTTCCAGAAAAAGCAGGCCTTGGCCAACCAATCAGTGCTTGCCTGCCCAGCACGAGTCATCTGACCTGGCTCTAAGACTCTCCTTTGCTCCATATAGGGGAAGTAATCCTGCTTTGACTGATCAGCAAATGCCGAGTATAACTTCCTTGTTCCTTCTCACTTTGGTCTGTAAACATTTCTTGCCTTGTATGGCTCTTTAGAGCTCTTTTCTATCTGCTAGACGAGATGTTGCCCCATTTATGAATTGCTGAATAAAACCTACTAGATCAGTAAATTGTGGAAAATTTTCTGTTAACTATCAAGGATAATTGTGAACACTTTCGAAGTGGTTAGAATAATACCTTGCACACAGTGAGTATTTTACAACTTCTAACTCATTTCACTGTTAAAGAAACCCTCACTGATAGATATTTTTACTATTATCATACCCATTTTCCAGACAAGGAAACTGAGGCCCAAAGATATTAAGAAACATGCCCAAGTTCATGTGGCTAGTCAGTGGTAGAGCTGGGATTTGAAGGCAAACAGTTAGGCTGCAGAGCTGGGTTCTTAAACAATACTATATGGTTGCCCCTACAACGTTTAAAATAAAAACTCTTGATGGTTCCTGATAATCATAAAATACAGTTACCAGAGATTTAAAAACTAAAGGATATCTTAGCTATGATTTATTCCAACATCTTAATTTTGCAGTTTAGGCAACTGTGTTTCAGAAAAGTTCACTGATTTCTCAAGATTTCTGAGCAAAGATGGGACTAGAATATATTTACCAATCCCATGTCCGGTACATTTTCTAAACCTAATCTTTAGGTTATAACTCTGTAGGAGCTGAAAACAAACAGAATAAAGAGAAGCCAAATGAGTGACTATTATCCTACTATGTGTGGGTTATTTCCAAGTGGGAATGTCCTTAATTCATTTCAATGTGAAAATGACACGTTCTTTTTATATCTCATATCATGTCTTACTCCAAATTGGAAAAAACAGTGCCCATGCTCATGAATTCTTGTGCATTGTTAAAATTTTCCATTGATTAAACCCTTGATTTAATTTGAGGCATAAAATGTATGACTCAGGATTGTTGCAGGAAATAGCTGGGCAAGTTCAAACAGGTTAGGCAAGGAGATATTAATAGAGGCTGTTTATAAAGGTGTGAGCAGAATTAAAGGAAAGCAGGGGTAAGGGTGGTTTAATACCCTTAGACTAGCAAAAACAGGAAGCCCTTACCTCTCCTAGTCCTGAAAGCCGGGAAGGGAACAGTTACCAAAACCAGGAGAAAGTGGCCATAGGTGAGGCCACCTAGATAAGGAGCTATAGCTTTTGGGTCAATAAAGGAACATAGTCCACCTGTGGCAACCCAGCTGGGAGGGATCCTGGAAGAATAAATATTCTAAACCCATTCTCCATCCCTTTTTGATCTGGTGCCTCTGCTTAGAGTTTCAACCTACCCAGAAGTTAGAGGTCAAGAAATCCCAGTTTGTGCTGTCCATAAAAGTCACCCTCTTAAAGCCCAAAGTAGAGAAGGATAGAGTGGAAAATAACCGATTCATAAGCCACCGGTTTTTAGATAAAATAATTAAATATCATGAACATTTTGAAAATTAATGAGTAATAGCTCGGCGGGACGCCTGGGTGGCTCAGTCGTTAAGTGTCTGCCTTCGGCTCAGGTCATGATCTCAGGGTCCTGGGATGGAGCCCCGCATCGGGCTCCCTGCTCTGCGGGAGGCCTGCTTCTCCCTCTCCCACTCCCCCTGCTTATGTTCCCTCTTTTGCTGTCTCTCTGTCAAATAAATAAATAAAATCTTAAAAAAAAAAAGAGTAATAGCTCAGTCTGAGCCAAAGTAGTAATTATTATAGTTTTATAACTGAGAGGGATGGCAACTGTGGTCTTTCATCAAGATTCTGAGAGCCTGAGCAATGACAGCTTAAGCCCTGTCTTTTTCTAGTTAGCTACATTGGTTATTTTTATTTTTATAAAGTTATGCAATTCCTAACACATTTATTGGTCATTTGCTGTGGAATCAAATGCTTGGCATTTCTGTTGGATAGACTTTAAAAGTCCATTAATAACAGTTATTCAAATAAGTATTTAATGCCTATTACGTGCCAGGCAGGATATATCAGTAAATAAACATGTCCTCTTGGAGTTTACATTTTAGTGTAGGAGCGAGAAAACAAGCATACGAACAAAAAAATATGTGGAGATAAGGACTATAAGAACAAGATAGGATGGCGGACAAAGGGGTACTAAGGAGAAAGGGAGAAGGAGGGGGAGAGACGGAGAGGGATTAGTTTTGCTCTGGTGGTCAAGGAAGACATCTTTAAGGCTGTAGCATTTTTGCCGAGACTTGTTAAAAGACAAACTAAATTTTAAGTTTATTCAAGCAAAAATTGATTGGAATTAGGTGCTGCCAAACCAAATGTAGCTATGAGCGCTAAGCCAACAGAATTCAGAGGAAAGACTTATATACACAAAGTGCAGAAGCAGAGAAAGGAAAGTATTTGATTGGCTATATATTGAAATCTAGTTGGCTTTTTGTGATTGGTTATCCTTAGCATTTTTTTTTTTTAAAGATTTTATTTATTTATTTATTTGACAGAGAGAGACACAGGGAGAGAGGGAACACAAGTAGGGGGAGTGGGAGAGGGAGAAGCAGGCTTCCTGCCGAGCAGGGAGCCCGTTGCGGGGCTCGATCCCGGGACCCTGGGACCATGACCTGAGCCGAAGGCAGATGCCTAACGACTGAGCCACCCAGACGTCTCTATCCTTAGCGTTTTGATATTGGAACCTTGAGCCATTTATAGGCTTAGATTTTGGTTTGTACATGTTGACCGCAATGGCATCAGAGCTACCTCAATCTAATGACCTCCTTGTTGAATTAATTTAACAGACTTGAAGCATAAAAGGAGCTAACCACGCAGAGGTCTGGAGATGGAAGAGAAAGGCTCTGATGCAGAAAATGTGCTTGCTAAAGTTGGAAGGACGGAAGGAACAGATGGAAGGAGCCCCCAGGGAAAGAGAACTGTGGTGGTAGTAAGCAGCACGTGCATTCATAGGACCTTCATGCCTGGGACTCTGAAGATTTTAATCCTGGGTTGCCGTCATGGTGGTGATGAGTCTCAGAACCTGAGACTCTTAAATCTCAAAACCATGGAGCCTGCATGTGGCTAAGAGCTTGGGCTCTACCCTCAGAGTCTGAACTCTTATTTTTGCCTAAGGTGAGTGTAATATTGTGATTTATAATAATAATAAAATATAAAAATATATATTTGATATATATTTGTGATTTATAATAATAAAATACATATATACATGTATTATATATATAAAATATGTTTGTGATTTATAATAATAAATGTGGTCCGCATCTTGTTCTGGTACAGAGCTCTTAAAACTCTTGGAATTTCCTAAGAGCAATGGGAGCAGCTTTTGTTTGTTACAGTATTTGGTCTTTTCTCCTTGGTTCCTGAAATAGCTCCAGAGCCTTAAAGGTGAAAGGAATATGTCATGTTATTCATAACAAGCCCCTTTCAACCACACCTGAATTTATGTTAATGCAGTAACTTTTGGAAAGCCCATAAGGATGGGCGCTAGTTGCCAGGGGAACTAACCTGATTAGAAGGTTGGAACTTTCAGTGCCACCCTCCATCTCTGGGGACGGGAGAGGGGCTGGAGGTTAAATCAATCACCGGTGGCCAGTGATTTAGCCAATCATGCCTGCATATGAAACCTTCATAAAAACTCAAAAGAACAGGTTTAGAGAGCTGGATTGGTGAACACATGGAGATTTGGGGAGGGTGGTACACCCAGAGAGAACATGGAAACTCCATGCTCCTTCTCCCAAAACTTACCCTATGCATTTCTAACATCTGGCTGTTCTGAGTTATATTCTTTTATGATAAATTGGAATCTAGTAAGTAAAATGTTTTCCTGAGTTCTGTGAGCTGCTCTACCAAAGTAATTGAACCCAAGAGGGAGTTCATGGGAATTTCCATTTTAGAGCCAGTAGGTCAGAAGCATAGGTGACGACCTGGACTTGTGATTGGCATCAGATGTGAGTGTGGGAGGGGATTTGTGAGCCTTTAACCTGTGGGATCTGGTGCTATCTCCAGGTAGATCATGTCAGAACTGAGTTAAATTGTAGGACACCCAGCTGGTGCTGCAGAATTGCCTGATGTGTAGATAACCCAGACATCTGGTGTCAGAAATGAAGTAGTGTACAGATGGTCCCCAACTTAAAATTGTTCAATTTATGATTTTTCAACATTATGGTGGTGTGAAAGCAATATGCATTCAGTAGAAACCGTACCTCAAGTTTTGAATTTTGTTCTTTTTCCAGGCCAGCAGTATGTGACACCATCTCATTTGTGATGCTGGGCAGTGGCGATGGGCCACAGCTCCCAGTCAGCCACGATTATGAAGGTAAATAACTGATACACTTACAACCAGCCATTCTGTTTTCACTTTCAGCACAGTATTCAATAAATTACATAGATATTCAACACTTTATTATAGAATAGGCTTTGTGTTAGATGATTTTGCCCAACTATAGGCTAACGTAAGGGTTCTGGGCATGTTTAAGGCAGGCTCGGCCAAGCTATGATGTTCGGTAAGTTAGGCGTATTAAATGCATCTTCGACTCATGACATTTTCAACTCACCATAGTTTTGTCAGGATGTAACCCCATAATAAGTTGAGGAAGTTATATAGCAGTGGAATATTGAGAGTAGAGGAGAAACACATGGAAGTGAGCTTTCCTTGGACTGAGTCACTTAACTCTTTGGTAATTCAATTTCTTCACTTGTAAAATAAGGATAGTAATACAGTATTTTATGCAAAATCCATGAGGACATTGTGTCTGAGAATTTCTAAATTTCAGGATCTTAGAATACTATTATGATGTGAATACCAGATAACATGAGACACTGCCATGGGGCTCTAGGGCAAATCAAACATTAATATTTCTGCATTGAAAGGTATTATGGTGGACAGACTCTTAAAGTGGTCCCACAATTCCCACTTCCTGGTGTTCACTCCCTTATGTGATCCTTTCCCTTCAAGTATGGGCAAAACTTGTGCTTGCTTCTAACTGAAAATTTGGTAAAGATAATAGGATGTCTGTGATTATATACACATGATTATGTGATTATATCACATACGATTGTAGTATCCATCTTGCTGGAGTCTGTCTTTCTTCCTCCTACCCTTCATTCTTGCTGGCTTTGAGGAAGAAAATGACCATGGTAGGGGATGCCACACAGCAATGAATATGGATGGGCAGCCTCTAAGACCTGAGGGCAGCTTCTGGCTGACGGGCCGCAAACAAAACAAAACATACACACACAAAAACAAAAACCGAACTGAAGCCCTCAGTCCTATCACCTCAGGGAAATGAATTCTGCCAATAACATGAGTGAGCTTGGAAGTGGATCTTTCCCCATTGAACCCAGGGGAGAATGCAGCCCCAGCTAACACCTTGATTGAAGCCTTGTGAGACCCGAAGCAGAGGAACTGTTTTGGACTTAGAGATAGGGATGCCTGGGTGGCTCAGATGCCTTCGGCTCAGGTCATAATCCCAGGGTCCTGGGATCGAGTCCCGCATTTTGGGCTCCTTGCTCAGCCGGGAGCCTGCTTCTCCCTCTCCTGCTCTTCCTCCTGCTTGTGTGCTTGCTCTTTCTCTCTCTTTCTGACAAATAAAAAAATAAAATCTTAAAAAAAAAAGAAACTTAGTACTGTCTGTTGGTTTAAGTCACTAAGTTTGTAGTAATATTGTTGCACAGCAATAGTAAACTAATAAATGTATGGATATTCATACCTTTTTTCCTGATTTTTAAAATTTATAAATAAAAAACATTATAAATAATCTAAGACTGATGAATCATAGACCTGTACCTCTGAAACAAATAATACATTACATGTTAAAAAAGAAAAAGACAGTAGGAAGGGAAAAATGAAGGGGGGAAAACTGGGGGGGAGACGAACCATGAGAGACTATGGACTCTGAGAAACAAACGGAGGGTTCTAGAGGGGAGGGGGTGGGGGGATGGGTTAGCCTGGTGATGGATATTAAAGAGGGCATGTATTGAATGGAGCACTGGGTGTTATATGCAGACAATGAATCATGGAACACTACATCAAAAACTAATGAAACATGGTGACTAACATAATAAAATAAAATAAAATAAAACATTATAAGTAATCTAAAGAACCTCACATCTGTTCAAGACAAATTTTGCCACCAGAAACATCTGGGCAGCAAATACAGGAAAAGTCTGTTGGTTTTCAGTCTTTTGGGCTTCCAAATTAAGATAAGGAAGTGTAGACTTGTATCATATAACCTTATAAGGTTGCTGGGGGATGGAAAAAAATACTACGTGTTAAGGGGTTTGGAATAGGATTTAGCACATAGGAAGTACTCCATAAATATTGGCCATAATTATGATTAGAATCAGAGCTCCTGGGGCAGGTCAGCCTCTCTGCTGCTATTCTTTGCAAGTTACTTCTCAGTTTCCCTATCTCTAACAGGAGGGCCTCTGAGAGGACCTCAGAGTTGGGGGAATAACTCCTGTTTATTGAGTCCCTATTATGAGGAGGCTTGGGCTGGGTGCTCAGTGAGCTGTAATGTGAATTGCTTCTGAGTGAAAAGGCATATGGTCTGCTTGTGGCCTTACTGCTGAAGAGGTGCACAATCCTAGGGAAAAGGCTTCTTGCTGAGTCTTAATTTCTTGATCTGTCAAATGGGGCTGGCTGATCCCTCCCACCTGAATATGTGCGAGGAGAGGTATGACAAGTGTACTCATTTTAGACTGAAGGATATTTTGTTTTTAATATCATTTGAGGGGAAGAACATATGCAAGGATCTGCCTGACCTTTCCTTATATACACAAAGAAAATGCTCCCAACCCTAATACTAAACCCCACCTCCACCCCTGCACAGAAAACAGAGTGGCTCCCTGTCTTTTGCCTGGTATTCTGTGCAGTTGGAGTGAGGACTGCAGGTTTCCACCTGCCCCACCACCATACCCACCCTCTGCATCTCTTATTTCTTATGCAATAATGACCTGTGTCATTCGTCATTACCCAGCTCCCCCACTAGACTATAGGTTCATGAGGGCAGCCCACTGCCCTGCATGCACCTCAGTAAACATGGAATCAACGAAAACAGGAAGAGGAGTAAAAAGATTACTAGGTAAACAGGAGGGTGAGACACTTCAACCAGGACACTTACTGATGAAAGCCCCAGGGATGATCAGAGTAGTCAAATTTGGATATATTTTGAAGGTTGAACCAATAGACTTGCTGAAGGATTAGAAGTGAGGGAAAGAGAGAAATCAAGGCATTGTTCATTCATTCATGTTTAATAATTATTGGCTATTGACTAGATACTAGGTACTATTTAAGATGCTTTAGGTACAGTAGCAAATAAGGGCCCTGATGTTCTTATGTTCTAATTGATGGAGACAAGTAATAAACCAGATATTACACAGAATGTTAAGTACTAAGAAGAAAATAAAAGAGGGCAATGTAACAGATTATTAGGTAGGATATATTTGGCTGAAAACCCAACTCAAAATGGCTTTAGCATTAAGATTTTTATCTCATTGGAAAAGTCAGAGTTGGATTGTTCAACGGTTGGTTACTCGGTGACTCAATGACATAATGACTCCAGCTTAGCATTTCTGTGATTCTCAAGTTTTCTTCTCATGCTTGTAAGATGACCCTACAGTTCTAAGCAATATATCCTCCCACTAAGGTATAGGCAGAGAAAATCTGTTTTTTTCTCACATCTCTCTCTTTTTTGAAATCTAAATTCAGTTAGCCAATATATGGCAGATTTAGTGTTCAATAATTTATCAGTGTGTATAACACCCAGTGCTCATCATATCACGTGCCTTCCTTAATGCCCATCACCCAGTTACCCCATCCTCCCACCCACTTCCCCTACAACAACTTTCAGTTTGTTTCCTATAGTTAAGAGTCTCTCATGGTTTTTTCCCTCTCCGATTACTTCCCATTCAGTTTTCCCTCTCTTCCCCTATGATCCTCTGTGCTGTTTCTTATATTCCACATATGAGTGAAACCCTATGATATTTGTCTTTCTCTGAGTTATTTCACTCAGCATAATACCCTCCAGTTACATCCACGTCCATGTAAATGGTAAGTATTCATCCTTTCTAATGGCTGGCTAATATTCCATTGTGTGTGTGTGTGTGTGTATATATATATATATATATATATATATATATATATACCACATCTTCTTTATCCATTCATCTTTTGATGGACATCTCGACTCTTTCCACAGTTTGGCTATTGTGGACATTGCTGCTATGAATATTGGGGTGCAGGTGCCCCTTCAGATCACTACATTTGTATCTTTGGGATAAATACCTAGTAGTGCAATTGCTGGGTCATAAGGTAGCTCTATTTTTAACCTCTTTTTTTTTTTTAAGATTTTATTTATTTGACAGAGAGAGAGAGAGTGAGAGCACAAACTGGGAGACAGAGGGAGAGGGAGAAGCAGGCTCTCTGCTGAGAAGGGAGCCCATTGCGGGGCTTGAAGCCAGGACCCTGGGATCATGACCTGAGCTGAAGGCAGATGCTTAACCAACTGGGACACTGAGGCACCCCTATTTTTAACTTCTTGAGGAACCTCCATACCATTTTCCACAGTGGCTGCACCAGCTTGCATTCCCACCAACAGCGTAAGAGGGTTCCCCTGTCTCCACATCCTTGCCAACATCTGTTGTTTCCTGACTTGTTAATTTTAGCCATTCTGACCATGTGAGGTGGTATCTCATTGTGGTTTTGATTTGTATTTCCCTGATGTCAAGTGATGTGGAGCATTTTTTCATGAGTCTGTTGGCCATTTGTATGTCTTCTTTGGAGAAATGTCTGTTCATGTCTTCTGCCCATTTCTTGACTGGATTATTTGTTTTTTGGGTGTTGAGTTTGATAAGTTCTTATAGATCTTGGATACTAGTTCTTCATCTGATATGTCATTTGCAAACATCTTCTCACAAAGATGGTTTGTCCTGGTACTAGAGATGCTATTTGAAATTTTTTGTGCCTTCTTCCCAGTCAATCATCAGAACATCAAGATTACATGTGGCTACAAATAATTAATGTGATAAGGGATGAAAATTATGTCTTTTTTTAAATTGAAGTGTAATTATTTGTTCTTCCAGTCCATGAGCATGGAACGTTTTTCCATTTCTTTGTGTCTTCCTCAGTTTCTTTCATGAGTATTTTATAGTTTTCTGAGTACAGATCCTTTGCCTCTTAGGTTAGATTTATTCCTAGGTATCTTATGGTTTTGGGTGCAATTGTAAATGGGATCGACTCCTTAATTTCTCTTTCTTCTGTCTTCTTGTTGGTATATAGGAATGCCACTGATTTCTGTGCATTGATTTTATATCCTA